CGAACTTGCTATCACTGCGGTGAAGTGGGGCATTTGAAACTTAATTGTCCTCACAGAGATGATTCGTCTGATGATGGAATTGCGGGTGCTTGTTCTGCAATGTCTGAGCAGAAGCGCTGGCAGAATAAAGCTGGACATCAAGATAAATCAAAGAGGAAGAAAGTCAATGCAGTGAGTTGTATTCCTCGTGGGGCTTTGCTTGTTGGTTCGGTTTCAGACCCGCGTGGAGGTGAAGTCGAGTTTACTTTAGACTCTGCAAGTGATGTGCACGTCTGCAATCGACAAGACTTGCTGTCGCAGTTGTAGCTAGATACTGCGCACGTATTTCAAGGATACGACGGCAAGGTGTCTGACAATGAGCAAGTTGGACATATGCAGCTTCGTGTGCGGAATAGTAAGCAGCCACACCAAAATGTGACTCTTAATTTGAGTAGTGTGCTGTTCAAGCCTTCGACACCTGATAATTTGCTTAGTCTGGATACACTGGAGAATGTTGGGTGGACGTTGAAGTGTGGTCTCCGTGATTCGGATCGCGTGGCTTGGCTTGGCTGTTCAAAGGACATTTGCAAGTAATGCTGATGAAGTCTCGCGGCAGGTACCACTTGAAGACTACAGCAACCTCGGTGTACCATGTCCCGTCGGTATCGTTGGTGCAGTAACGTAGTGATAGCAACATCGTTGACGCTCTGGCATCTCCGATTCGCTCATTTGAATATTCCTACACTAAAGCAAATGGCGCGTCAGCAAGTTGCAGCTGGAATAGGTTCGGAGCTGACGGATGACAGTGAAATTCCATGCTAAAGCTGTAAGTTGGCGAAGATGAACCGAATGGCTTACAAGAAGACGAGGACTCGCCGTGCAACAAGACCTTTCCAGAAGCTCATGAGATATGTGCTACATGGGTATTGTTACGTGCGATGGGTACTCATATTTCCAGCTTGTACAAGATGTAGCATACCGGTACTTGTGGGGCTTCCTGATGAGAAGAAAGGAAGATGCCTTGGGCGTCGTGATAGCGCATGTGAAATGGTTTTTGGCCCAAGGAAATAAAATCGAGGTCCTCAACTCTGACCAAGGCCGTGAACTTCCCAATAAACAATTGGTTATCTTTCTCACTGCTCACGGAGTTGAGCATACCTGGACAAACGGGTACAGTCTTGAGGAGAATAGGCTGGTAGAGAGGATGAACAGTATTGTTGCGGCTCAGCTGCGCTGCATCATGACGACTGCAAACATGCCGGACCTTCTGTGGGGAGAGGCCTTTGGATTTGTTGTCGAGGTCAGGAATATTTCTGCAAAGAAGCCTTTGAACGGCGAGACGTTCTACTTCAGGCGCTTTGGTGAGCGGCCTGATGTCTCCCAGCTGCGGACTTGGGGCTGTGTGGTGATGGTGTTCACGCCGAAGAAGCTTCGCAAAAACAAGCTGGAGAACCCAGGCGAGCCTGGTTTGTTTATGGACTTTGCTAAACATTCTGAGAGTTTTCGAGTGCTAAGTTTGCACACCGGCAACGTCCAAGAAGTACGCTCTGTGGAGTTTCAGGAAGCCTGGACTGTGGATCGCAGCTACGTGGAGCGTCTACTCAATAATCCTAGGACGACCTCGTACTTTGCCTACATTGATTCCGTTTGTCCATTTGCCTGTGACGTCTACAATGAGTGCTGATCGGGATGTCTCCTCTGATGGTCCTATTTCCAAGTGCCGATATTGCGACGGTGATACTACTACCACTACGTTTCACACAGAAACTCCTCCGGTTTGTTCAGGTGCGCCTGGTACATTTCCGTTGAGTGATGACGAGGTGGCTCCTGCTGCGGTGGGAAGCGAGCACTTGTCAATGAGGCTTAACACACATCGTGGCAAATGGGCCCAAAAGCATATCGGGCAAGGTGGGTACGACCTGCGGGCTATATCTGACGGCAATTCTGCGGTTGGTCTGCTACCTACGATAGCACCTTCAGTGGGGGAAGTAGAGGTTGGCGGTGATGGTCAACAGGAAGTTGATCTCGTAGCAGCTGATCAAATAGATAGCCTCGAAGAGAAAAGGCCGATTGGATCTGGCGATCCAGCTATTCCGATGAGGGACGTGACTAGAGCTCTCAGTGATCTTATGCGGGACAACACGTGGGAGCTGGTGAAAAGCCCAAGAATAAGAAGGTGCTGACAAGCAAGTGGATGTTTCTGAGGAAGCGTGATGCACATTGATTTTTAGTGCGTCATCGCACTCGATTCACTATCAAAGGGTGTCAGCATAGCTATGGAGTTGACTTCTGGGAGACGTACTCTCCAGTGGTGGCTCAGGAGGCAGTGAAGTTTGTCTTGCTGCTAGCGCTAAAATGGGACTTGCGGCTTGCCATGTGGACTTCGTGACTGCATTCTTGAACGGATCGATCGGTGAGGCTGAGATTTAAATGGAAATGCCTGAATACTTTGACGGCGGTTCTGGTCGAGTTTGTAAGTTATTGCGGAGTTTGTATGGGCTAGAACAAGCGCCATTGATATGGGACCAGACGCTTGATAAGCACTTGAGGTCAAGTGGCTTTTGCCGGACGAAGATGGTCGGAGGTGTTTACACTCGTTCAGTGGGAGGAATTCACATATTTGTGACTGTGTACATCGATGATTTGATCATTGTGGGAACTCATGAAAACATTGAGCTGGTTCTGAGTGAGAATCCAAGCTAAGTTTAAGATCAAGGACTTAGGGCTGTGAAGGATCTATTGCACATGGAAATTTCCTATGTTCCAGGTCATGTTATGTGGATGTCACAAAGTGGATACATCGACAAAATTCTGAAACGCTTCGGAATGGAAGACTGTAGGCCTGTAGCTACACCGCAAGTTACAGGCAACTTGCCTGATCCGGTAGAAGACGGTCAACCCGGTGTAAATGACCCAAGTATACCGTACCGAGAATTGGTGGGTAGTCTTCTTCAATATTTGGTGCAAGGCGCACGTCCTAAGATCGCGAACGCTGTGCGGACCCTTGGAGAGTACATGAGCAAGTACACGCATTGGCATTTCGTGATGGCAAAGAGAGTTCTACGCTATTTGAAAGGCACTCGTGACTATGGACTTTCGTAGAGAAAGCCTGCTAGTCCGGATTTGCATTTCATTGCCTATGCTGATACATGTCTCGGTAGTGAAAAGGATGATCGGAGATCGATCACTGGCTTTGTGCTTCAGATGAATGGGTGCACATACGCCTACAAAAGCCACAAGCAGTCGATTACCCAGGACGATACTTGCAGCGCGGAGCTCATTGCTGCTTGCTGAGTTTTCGGTCATGATTGTTTGGACTCACAATCTTTGCGAAGAGTTGAATCTCTGCCGTCGTTGCCCAAATGTACTATATCAAGATAATCAGTCTACGATCAAGGTGATCAAGGCAACGAAAGGCAACTACAAGACCAAAAGTGTGGACTTGAAGTATTACAAAGTGAGGGACTTGTACGAAGCGCGGTGACTTTGATGTCAAGTACTGTGCCACAACGGATATGCTCGCGGACATTTTTACGAAGCCGCTAGGATCAACGCAATTTGCGAAGCTGCGTGAGCGACTTAATGCAGAGCCGAACCCACTTGTGAAGAGCAGAGCTGAGGTTTAACCAAACCGCTACAACGTAGACCTCGAAGTGGGAGTGTCGGAGCATGGATTAGTAGGAGATCTCTGTTGTGAAGTGCGTGTGGTGCACACTATCTGCGATATGCTCAAGGCGTAAGACAAAAAGGACCTCGCAGAGAATTCTGGTTCAGTCGAGAATGTAACTTCTGTCCGAGAGGTGCCTTTTGCTGCCCAGTGTGGGTGGACGAGTCCTTTGATTCCTGCTCTGCGTGTGGTGCTGGCGGTGTCAATCCCCTCACATCCAGTCTTTAAATCGCGAGCGAAGCGAGCCGTATGGGCGCTGAAGGGGCGACCAGCCGAGCGAAGCGCGGTTGGTCATTACTATCGCTAGCTGATAATGCAAGCGGGCTTCATATCTGGAGGTTCGCTCTGGCGATGAAAAGTAGGTAGAGCCAATGTACTGTCAGCATGACTAACAGGATATAAAAACAAACTTATTTATTGGGACAATTTGTGCTTTTTAGAGCGGTTAATGTATTTTTTTTTACCAGCGCCGTGTTCGCGTCGGCGGAATGAACGAATACAGCGCTCAATGAGCGAGGTATTTTATTTGAGCGCCTATACGTTCTATCCGGGTTAAGACAACAGCACAGCGTTATATCAGCTTACATGTTGATGGCGATAATAATATTTTAGAACAAGGGTGGTCACAGGGAGGAATACATTGACCCTGGTGACTTCGCTCCATTTGACGACAGAGAGGTGGATGGCTAGACTTTAAAAGTCAAATCCTGTCAGGCGCCGCCGTACTGTTGGTAGTGATATTGCTGGGACTCCCAGCGCCAAGCTCACCAGCGAGCCGAGGATTGCACTCTCCAGTACATCCAATCTTTAAATCGCGAGCGAAGCGAACCGCGGGGGCGCCGAAGGAGCTCCCAGCCACGGAAAGCTCTGCTGGTCATTGCTATCGTTAGTTGCAAGCGGGCTTCATATTCTTTTCGCTCACTCCGGCGAAGGCAAGTCTCGACAATGTACTGTCGGAATAATTTACATTAAAAAGCAAAGCTATATTTTTAGAACAATTAGGACGTTTACATATTAGAACACATTTAGGTACGTTTTTGCCAGCGCCGAACATTGAGTTCCGCAACAAAAACGCACAGTGTAGCCCCGATGGACATCGCAATGCTAGAAAGGAGTGGTATACAATCGAGCTCTGATTACATTGATTACCAACACCTGTGCACAGGAATGATTGGTCCAATCGGGGGCTATCCGCAAAATGAAACCGTATCATACGGTGGATAAGAATGCACCACTGCGGTCGAGGATCCGTCTCCCTTTATCGTATAAGCCGCAACATTCCTCATTTCCCAATTATCCTAACAACGGCCAACCACCATACGCATACAACGCCGAAATCCACCTCACTACCATCATGACATTCCTTCGCCCCCTCCTCGCTCTTCTCGCCGCCACGATCCTTGTGACCACGTCCGCCCAAATGGACGGCGGATACTCGAAGAAGGAAGTCACTTCAGAGGCCATGGAGCTGCTCCAGAAGGCGCGGAGCAATGTGAGTGCATATAATAGCGACGTCACCTCGCGCATCTGCTACCTGAAGGTCGACAGTCTCGAGACTCAAGTCGTCTCGGGCGAGAACTATAAGTTCCACGTTACTGGTTGCAGCGTCAACTCGGACAACGAGCTTGGTGGCTGTACCTATTGGAACTCCGTTCCGTTTGGCAGCACTTTGGACTTGTGAAAGTAAAATGGAGACTGAATTATTTAAGTGCTAGCTCACGCTCCTCCAGAGCTCCTACCAACACTAACGGATTCAACCCGTTCCCATACAATGACCTGGCCCAACTGATTCTCATCCCGAATGTCCTGGCCCACCTGATTCTCATCCAGTGTGTCCATGTCTCGTTGTGCCTGGTCTCCGATGTGAATTCCAACACGCCTCCCTCGAAGTGCAGCTTCGACTACTTGGCCTAATTCACGCCAGCCAGCTCCAACATCGCCTTCAAGCGAATCTTGTTGAGCGGCTTGGTAAACGTGTCCGCAGGATTCACTTCGCCTTTCACCTTGTGCAGATCAATGGTGCCCTTCACCACTTGTTCCCGCACATAGTGCCATCGGAGTTCAATGTGTCGCGTGCGTCTGCTGTAGGTAGGATTAGTCGCCATCACATGAGCTGCTTGGTTGTCAATACCAATTCGTAACTTGACCTCATGATCTGGTAATATCTCCTGCAGAATGTTCCCCTCTACTACAGCTTCCAAAGTAGCCTCGCAGGCCGCCACATACTCCGCCTCAGCCGTCGATAACGCAATAATCGACTGCCGCCGTAACATCCAGGCAATAGCTCCTCCAGACAACATGAACACAAACCCCGTTATGCTCTTCCGCTGCTCTGGATCATTCGCCCAGTCGCTGTCACAATACCCTTCAAGTACAACTTCCCTAGTTGCTCCTTGAGTTCTTGTGTACGTGATTCCATAGTCAAGAGTTCCTGCCACGTACCGCAGTACTCTCTTCAGACTTCCAACATGTTTCGCAGACGGTTTGCCCACAAACCGACTCAGTTGACCCACCACGAACGCCAAATCAGGTCTGGTGCTCGTTGCCAAGTACATCAGCATTCCAATAGCCTCTCGATAGGGAAAACTCGTATCTCCTGTCTCCTCATCGCTCATTGGTGCCAACCGCAAGTTCACTTCCATCGGATTTCCAACCGCATGGGCATTCTGGTACCCGAACTTGCTCAGGATCTCTCGTGCATATTTCCGTTGGTGAATTGTGATTCTCTCAGTCGTTTGCTCCACTTTCACACCCAGGTACTCATTCAACAGGCCTTGATCCTTAATCCCGTACTCCTTGTCCAGCTGCGCGAACAAGTCCTTCTTGCTCTGCTCGTCATTCGTTGCACCAGTATGTCATCAACATACACTCGCACATACATGATCGTATCTCCGTCAAAACGATAGTACAGACACGGTTCCACCAACGACCGCATGTATCCGTGCTTCATCAACCAGTTGTTCAGCTCCGAGTTCCACTCTCGACCTGACTGATGCAAACCATATAGCGCCTTCAACACGATATAAACATATCCGTTGATCTTGCATGGGTATCCTTCAATGGATCTCAAGTACTGCTGGATCTCCAACTGGGCATTCGAGTATGCGGTGTTAATATCTCCGCCATACACCATTAATCCCAGCTGCGCTGCTAATGCCAACAGCAATCTGAACGACGACATCCTCGCTACCGGTGCAAACGTCTCCTTAAAGTCAATCCCGGGTCTTTAATAGTTACCCAGCGCCACTATGCGCGACTTGAAACGAATCACATATCCTTGATGGTCGGTCTTGATGTCATATACCCACATCGTGTTCACGGGTGATGTTTCCTCCGGCATTTCATCCGCAGGAATCTCGGCAATCACTCCTTTCTTCGTCAAAGCTGCAAGCTCTTCCATCTCGGCCATCATGAAGAAGTTACACCACTTCGACCGTATCATATCACGACGATTACGTGGAGCTTTGATCTCACTTGCACGAATGGGTCTTCCATTCTTATCCAGTACACGTGAGGAATTCATCGTCACGTTCACCATGTAGTCATCGAGATACGCCGGACGTCGACGCTCGTGAACTTCTCGTAGTCCAGTCCGTGTCTTCTTCACGTTTGTCTTATCCGCATCCAGCTCTGCACGAACCTCCCCTGAAGGAGTCTCATTTCGATGCATACGCTTGCCAGTCACTGTTACATCAGGACCTATCCCCACCACATCTCTGTCTGGCTCAGCTTCAGGTAGTGTGTCCTCACCAGTGTCACTCTCTAGCTCCGCATCATTGCTACTCTGGTCCTCAGCAAAGACACTCGCTACTGTGGTCTCTTCATTACCATCTTGCTCTTCGGATTCATGCAGCTTATGGTCAACTACTTCCGATCCACAGGTTTCAGCCACCGATATAGCGTCCGCATCTGCTATGTCAACACCCTCAGCCGCTTCATGGACATTCTCGCCCTCAGCTGCTTGACCAGTGTCGACACTAACACCTTTGCTAGCCTCACTCGGCTGACTGCCTTCATGTTGTACACTTTCAGTAACAACATCACCATGTCCATCGTTCTCAACGGCGTCACTGCCTACTTGAACAGTCTCAGTACCGTCCTCAGTAGCCTTGAGTTGAACATCACCATTCAAATGAACATCTCCATCCGCTTCGCTATCGGCATGGTGGACAGGTTGGTCATACACTTGGTGCATTTCTCGTCCAACCTGCGTATGTACGTCAGTACGCTCGCCTTCCTGTGTCTGCACAGCATCCACGCAAGCATCCACACTCTCGCCTTCCTCGAGCTCAAAAGATGGTACATCACTCAGCGCGCTCAAAACGGTCTGGTCCTCATCTTCTCGATGAGTAAAGTGAAGTAAAGAGAGATCGTCGTCTTCCACTTCCGTTGTGTATCGGTCCCGATACATAACATCTTCTGCAACACGCAGATCTGACACAAACTTTGCTGTGTGCTCATCAGGAAAGTACACTTTGCAGCCAACTACATTCTCAGCATACCCCAATACAAACCCAATCTTCGCATGAACACTCAGTTTCTTGCGTCCAGGAGTCACTGGTACGTGCACGTACGCCAGTGCTCCAAACTTCCGGATGTGGTGTACATTCGGCTTGACTCCGAACAGCATCTCGTACGGAATGCCATTAGTCCCCTTGTTGTACACACGATTTTTGACATACACTGCATTTCTCAGTGCCTCAGGCCACAGGCTCCTCGGTAGCCCCGAGTGTGCCATCGTAGACCTAGTCATGTCCTCCAACGATTGGTGCGTTCGTTCACACAAATTGAGCTGCGAGCTCTTCGGCCCGACTTTCACATGCCCAATTCCTCTTGAACGATACCATGCATCAATTCCTTCATTGAAGAATTCACCGCCCTTGTCACTCCAAATCTGCTGCACTCTGTATGTTTTCCCGTTGGCATTTCGGCCTGCCTGCCGTTCCGCCCACAACACATACTCTTGCATGTACTTGTTCACCACCTTGCTGTCCTTGTTCCTCAGCAGGTGCGCAGTGACAAACCGCGAATAGCCATCCATGATCACCAACACGGCCTCATATTGAGTCGCATTATTCTTCCCTGGAATCAGAAGATCCGCATACACTACTTGGTTGGGTCTCTTCAGTCCACGGTCCAGCATCTTCCCGTGTGATTTCATCTTTTGTTTTCCAAGATGCCAGGCATCACACGTATCTTGCTGTCTCTGTGTCACCATCATTTCCTCCACCAGCTCCTTGTCGACCATAGTCTTCAAATACTGTGGACAGATATGACACAGTATCTCATGCCAAAGCTGCAGCGAACCAACACCTTCTGCCATAGCGTGATTACATCTTGCTGCTGCTTCTGGTAGCACTCGAGACTCGCTACTTGGAGCCCCCAAGTGGCCTCCTGCTGCGTTGCTACAGCCACAGTCCTTCCATCTCTCATGACGTGAAAATTCCTCGTTTCTCTGTCATATTCCAGAGTATAGCCCTGCTCGTAGGCTAATCCAGGAGAAAACAAACCATACTCGGCATCCGGAATGTACAACACTCCGTCGAGATAGCTCACTACTTGTTCTCCATTAACCTCTGTCGTAAACGCCACTGTTTCCATTCCAGCAACACGGGAAGCAATCGTAGGCGTAACCCCTCGGATCTGCTGTAGCTGCTCCGAGTCTGCCGTGTACGACATGAACTCAGCGAAATTCCCCGTGACGTGCGAGTTGGAGGCCGTATCCAGATACCACCACCCGCCATTGAGACCTTGTGTTACTTGATCACTGTCCTCCAGATGTGATTCACCACTATCTGACTCATGATCGTTCACCGGGTTTCCATCACTTGCTGCTTCATCGTCGCTCACGATTTCAATGCCACGTACATCATCAGTGTGTACGTCATCCACTCCATGTGTTTCATCAAGCTCCCGAGGAATCCCGTATATTTCACGAGAACTTGTGACTCTTGCCACAACACCCTCATCCCGCTCGCGGTTCATCTGCACTGGTCCAGTGGTTTCTTGTCGTAGGGTACAGCAACTGCGCGGCTTACGCTTCTTCTCTGCGTCGTCAGCTTTCTCTTTCCCCTTCGACTTCTCAGGACAATCGACACGTAGGTGATCTTCACGGCCACAAGTAAAGCATCTTCTAACTCTCTTGGGGTCACCAGTCTTGTCCTCGTGAAAGCCTTTTCTGCTCTCACTGCCTTTGCCATGTCTTCCTCGCGGGCTACCCTTCTTCTCACTGCGCTTAGCTCGAAACCCTTTCTGCCGAGCCGTCGCCGCAAGAATCAGCTCTTGAACCTTCTTAGGTGTGTAGACACTCGGGTCTGCGCCGTAGTATATCGAAGACTTCAGATGCTCAAACTACAGTTGATCAGGCAAACTCTCCAGTAGCATATCCACCATCGTGGTATCTGCAACCGTATGATTCAAGTCGGCCAACACAGTCTTGAGATTGAACATTTTGCAAAGATGGAGGTTGGCGTCTCCTCCAGGTGCGAGCTTCATACTCCAAAGCTCATTCTCCACGCGACGGATCGTGTACGCCTTGATGGCTTCGTTCTGCTTTCCTTTGTAAAGGCTGCAGAGCTCACTCCACATCTCCGGTCTCCTTGTCACGTAGTTGATGCAGCACGTCTGCCGGTACCGATGTACCAATCAAGCGCATGATCTTCAACTGCTTCTTCTTGAACT